TCCTTCGCCTTCGCCTTCGCCTCCTCCTTCTCCTTCTCCTTCTCCTCTCCTTCTCCTTCTCCTTCTCCTTCTCCTTTTCCTTTTCCTTCTCCTTCTCCTTCTCCTTCTCCTTCTCCTTCTCCTTCTCCTTCTCCCTCTCCTTCTCCCTCTCCCTTTTTCTCTCCTTCTCCCTCTCCCCCTCCCCTTCCCTAGCCGCCCCGCACGAAGAAGAGGTAGTGGAAGCCTTACCAACCAGGTGCAACGCGAGCAGCAGCAGGGTCCTCGCATCCGGACACAGCACTCCCAGGATCAACAGCAGCGGGGCCCTGGGACCCGATCACAGCAAGCCCAGGAACCTCAGCAGGACACAACAGCACGGTCAGAACAAGACCAAGATCCAAAGGCACGGGCAGCTGAAAAAAGTTTGCACGTTGTCAGCAAGGACAAGCATCCGCCGCAAACGGATGTGACTCTGAGATTGCAGAGGAAACGGACATCAAGATCAACGCTCCGCAGGACTTCGCACGCAACGTACCCGAGAAGCCTGCGAGGAACTCACCTCCATGGTGTACCCCGTTTCGGATGGGGTACATCACATGTTGTTCGTGCCCTGGAAGGGCGAACAGCGTCGACCTTTTGGAGTTCTTCCGGAGGAGCCGCCCACGGGCACGTACCAGTATACGTGCTGTCACGGGACAGACATGGCCTCAGCCGGCAAAATTATGCTGGAAGACTTATGCAGACCGTCTTCGATCAAGCACACGTTTGGCGACGGCTACCGTGAGATACCGGCTTGCGTGGTATGCGGGACCACGACACCGGGCGAGATCAGCCAGCGCACCGTACATACTGTGTGTGACCAAGCCACGCGCAAATCAAAGGGCCAGCAATGCATACTCGTCATAGGGACTGTCCGCAGCAGATTTCAACACTACCGCGCAGAGTATAGGGACATGTGGCGAGAGTCTTTTATAGTCTCCCGCAAAGGCGTGGTCAGGACCCCCGATAAATGGGGCTTCCGCGCGGGGCATTTCTCGATCGTTGGTTTTGGCATTATTTGTTGAGCACCGCCGCAACATGTTCAACAACATCACTACCTTCACAACCGCAGACTACTGAATTATCACGGTATTGCATGGAGATGTTGCCAAAGCCACATGGCTTCTCATTGCTCCGCCGAATGTTTGAGCCAAAGAGTGCCACTGCAGGTTGTTGCGGTCAAAAAGCTCCTGTTTGAAGTTCTATATGACGGCACACGATTGAGCCGGGAGCCACCAGGTAGCACAGGCACTTCCACATTGCTCTGATGCATTTTACCGCAGCCTTTTGAAGTGAAGAACAGCAACATGAGCCAGCGCAACAGACCCAGGTGGAACATTTCTCCACCCACAGGCATGATGAGAGCTTCCATCAATAGCACCGCAGACCCTTCACCAGCAACGACCTCCGCTGCTTCCACCTCCCCCGCCATTGCCCACCTCCACACCCACGCCCACGCAGACCATCGCATTTACAACACCAACAGGTTGGAACCCACCTACGTTACCGACCCCCACTTTTCCACTGCAGACCAATTTTCCGCCGCCGCCACCTTCACAAACCTTTACCGCACAACAAATCCCTACCGGCTGCAGCACAACATCACACAGCGTCCCCACTCACCCCATCTACGTCAACCCCAGGGAGCCAGATTCCACACGACTTTGTGCAGACTGCGCAGCACTGGGACAACAGACAAGTTTTCTTTTTGAATCTTCCCAGATTCATACAGACCACCCCACATACCATATAAAGCAAAACTGCAGGACTACCCATCGCCGCTGTCCCGTTGGTGGCGCTTTTACGCCACAACTGGTCGTCGTACTGGCTTAGATATGTGCTGCACATGGTCACGATCTCCATGTAAATGAAACAATAGTTGTTACGGAACTCCTCGGCATGCTGCGAGCGCGCCGCATTGACCTCGATCAAGTAGCCACAGCGCTGGGAAGAGAAGCTCAACACAGCTAAGCGACCAGCTATGATGCCATTGGTGAAGGAATTAGTTACTTACATGCAGGAACTACGCGACCCATACAACGAGTCCAACAAAGCAACAACTACAGACAAAAAGGAGTCTCAGCAATCGCCAGGTCCTGATGCAGACCTCAACCAAGTGAAGCAAACGGAATTCCGACGCCCCCCCCAAGTCTCCAGGAACAACAGCAGACGCACATTCGGCGCATCGCATCACCGACCTGGAAGCCAAGTTGGCCTCAGCCCTTGAAACCGTGGAAGCTCTAGGGGCGTCAGCCACGTCGGAAAACCCACCAGCACCAGTTCCGTCAGGATTTCCGCGGAGCCCTCTTCCGACTGTCAAGGGCCAAGGGAATGGTTCTATTTCGAGCTCGCGGTCCCTGCTGCCGCCGCAGAGTTGGGAGCTGCGATGCGTGCGGAATTTCAAGGACGGAACCCACCTGCGCGTCGCCGAGGGACTCGGTGCGAGCCCTTTCCGATGGAGGAGGAGGCGGCTGAAGCCAGCGCCTCAAGGGTGAAGAAGGAGAGGGCGGCGGAGTCCAGCGCCTCTCCCAGGGATGTGTTCACGATGGACGCGCCTGATGAGCAGGAGAGAGTGCGGGAACTCCGAGAAGCGTTTCGAGGACAGAGTGCCCCAGTCACAACTCCTCAAATGCAGCCTGGTGCCCCTCTGCCACCTACAACCAAAGACCCATTACACATCGATGACGACACGCCGAGCAGCAGAGACCGACACAAAAACGGACCAACGCCCAGTGACCAACACCAGCCCCACCTACCAATTACTACCGCAACACAACAGCGCAACCCGCAACAGAAAGCAGTGCACTGGCCTCGGCAGACACCCCCTCGCCTCAGCCAAACTCGCTCACAGGCATGCGTTTCCCGGGAAAGTCTTTGTCTGGCGCCAAAAGACACTTGCAGTCACTCTGGTCTCCAGCAGCCCATCCGCCAAGCCAGACCTTAAGATGGACCTCCTCCGCATTCTTCAGCAACCACCGCAGCAGAGCGTGTGGTTCCAACAGCATTTTACGAGAGCCCACACCGAGTCCGGAATTGCAAGCTGGTTTGGCTCCCTAAAAATACCGGAGAAGCAGCGTAAGTTATGCAAACAGTGCCGCGACATCACGGCCGAGGAATCCAGCGCCATTACCACTAGTCAACAACAAGCCCTTCACACAGCAGCGGTGTCATGGGGAGTGCCGTTCAAATCCTTTGAGAAATTTACAACAGCGGCACTGGTAAAACTTGTAGCAATCATCACGCGGATGACCGAATGACTACGGTCCCGCTACCAACCACCCACACGCACAGGCAAAAAGCCCCACCTCGCTGCAAAACAATTCAAACGGAACATCAAAATTATAGAAACAAGCAGACGCCTGTTACAAAACTTAGCACCACAGGCTGAACACACATCACACGAGCTGTGTCAGATTGTCTTATGGCTGCAAGGCTTATCTCTCTTCTTCTTGACAGTACAGCATTACCATCTTCCACATGAAGCCACACACCTCACCAGCCTGCAACAACTTCTCCACCATTCGCAAGTCACACCATACATACACCCTTGCAAGATTCCGAAAGACTCAGATCGTGTGCTGCAGAGTATCCACCAGCCAACACCTGCGTTTTGTGTACATTGGAAGCACCAGCGCCACCATGACAAAACGCGAGAGCACTCGCGACCGAAAATTCAAGCAAACTCAGCAACGCAAGATAGTTCAAGCTGAACTATCACTACGTTGGTGGCACAAGCGCAAGTGCTACCTCCAATTTACACCCATTGTTCTGCAAACAACTGCTCCAATTCAGGAACTAGAAGCCACTGAAAACACGATGATTCAACATCATCAAGCAAAGCTCAATTTTCCGTACATTACCTCGCGCATGAAAGGGGGCATTCTCCGGCTTCTCAAAAGCCGCCAACAACAAGCGCAACGGAACAGGTGCACTTTGGGTAAAACTTCGCCGAGGCAAGATGTGCCACACGGTACGCAACTTCTCAGACACACCACTTTTCCGTGATCGCATCAACCACACCCACATCCACCATCAACAGGAAGCGTCTTAGGCAACAAGCTTGGAATCCACCTGAAGCATATCCCACTTTTGATAACCGCAGTGTTGCAACTTAACTACTTCACAGTCGGCAACTCTCATTGAGCAATTCCGTGGGGCACCCATGGGATCACCTTGCAGTCCAGCACTTTGCAATCTGCTGGTTGCAGTTGAAGAACAGTGCTGGCATCACACGTACAATCACCTGTTCTCCAGCTACAAATACTTCCACCAGCACACCCACGAGGAGCACGCGCTATACTTTGCCGCCAGATACGTGGACAACAGAGTTTTACTACTACCCAAACATCTCATTGTTTTTACAAACCGCTGGTTCAGCTTGAAACTGAACCGGCCAACATTTTCCTTGGCTTTGCCATCGACCCGCAGCAACGCAGCCTGTACACAAGGCGGACATTTTACACCCTCAATCCGCCACCACCAAGCAAACACTGCTCAGAGGTTACCAAGCCAGAATCCGCATCGTACAGCGGGTCACATCGCCAAACAAGCATACTCACGCAGCCACCCGAGCCACACGAGACATCTACGTCGCTGCTGGATACACTGAAGCGCAGCTGCGAATTTAAAACCAAGGGTGCATGCGCTGAGCACTTTGTTCACAGACAACATTGTGCATGCCGTCGTTTTGCAGCTACTGTTGTAAAACTCCGCAGCCATTTTCAGTTACAACCCCAATTTTTCTGACGCCATGCGCAAAAGCAATATGGGTCGAAAATTGCAGCCCGCGCACCGTGCTCTGTCTGCTCGACAGCCGCGACAACAACACCCGAAGGACCGACGCCACAAGCGTCAAAAACAGATAGGCGTGCCACAGTTTGGGCGAACCGCCCAGCCCTCGCAGCCGTCGCGAGTGGAACAGACGCCCGCATTACGGCGATAGATTTTGCGAGTTGCTACAAAAACCTTCACCGAACTCTCGGAAGATCCCATCGAGGAAGATGAGCCGGATGTCCCAGCAGACGTGCCGATCCATGATGTGACCTTACTCATCGAGAACTTGCACAAGGTCATCGGGGACTCACGCGGCAAGATTGAACGCCCCTCCAGCAAACCTCCGCGTTAAACCCTAAACCCAACATGAAGCTATGACGGCATTGATTGCTAGTTGCAAGCAGCAACTAGACGTCTTGGAAAGTTTGCTACGTCAGAGCAACCCTGACTCGTCGTAGATCTATGAATCAGACCGAGCATAGAGGCCGCAAGACAAACACAAAGACGCATTTGCTAACAGCCCATCTGAACTTGCGCAAGTTGACCAGCGTGACCTGAACAGTATGCTCTCCGCATCCATGTTTGTTGTTAGCTTGCAGTTAGCCATTGAGCCCACGTCATTGTTGACCGCAGCTCGATTTCTGAACTTCAAGCTTTTGCCAAAAGCTTATCGCAACAAGAAAACAGCGCCGTTGGTTCACCAACCTTGCATGCTACACATTCCGGAGCTCTTCTTGATCAATCGTACCCCTCACTCTATGGCACATCTACCTCAGTGCGATTTGCTCGTCACCGACCAAGAAAAAAGATCGCGTACGCCGTAGAGGTGCCACTGGTTGGCATTCCATGCTGATGCACGCCTTGCCGACAGTGCCGGCCTACATCTCACAGCGTTTTCGTTGCTCGACGCATGCCTTAGCAACAACCAACTTGCAACAATTCGGTGTCTAACAGTCCGACATGTGCTTGTTCAGCTATACTGTGTCTTGAAGGCTGTGAGCAGTGCATTTCTAACACAACATAGCCTATATGCCAGTGTTGCTGATCGAACAGTGCAGCTTGTATTCGCCGCAGCCGTTTCCACACATTGTCAGGATGGATCCGCATCAGCCAGCAGGGACATACAGTGAAGATGAAGTCAGCTATGGCAATCGGATGAGCTGGACGCCTTCCTGAAGAAGGAAGACAACATGCCGGGCTGGCTCTTCTCAGGACGTCCCGTGCAACAGAGTCAATCCGCCTGACGAGAAGAAGATCAAGAAGAAGGACAAACCAAGGCAATAGGACAAGAAAGCAAACAAGAAAAATAGAAAACGGATGGAAGCAACATCTCCTTCAAGACACAACTCAAGCAAGAAATTCAAGATGTGAAGAATGAACCGGGTTCCAGTTCAGCCTCTGCACGGTCGGAGCGGCCATCTTCTCAGTCCTTTGCCGACCACGACATTGTTCATCCCATAATTCGCGTTGCACCACCAAACAAATGTGCCTGCGTAAAGATGTTGGTACGAGCAGGTTTCAGATGTCTGTTCCATTTCGTTCATGTCTCACGTTGTCCGTCTCAGAAATAGGACCGCAAAACACCACTAAGGCGACACAGTGGAAAACAGTTGATCGTCCCAGTGTGGGGCTGTGTGTGTGAACCTCCCTAGTACATGGGAGCAGAGGGTCACTCCTGATGTTACGTTTTCGTCACCATGTCATGAGCTTGCTTGCATGGAAAACAATGTCGTCAACATTCTTGCAAAACACTCACGCACAGGGGGACACACCATGTCACCGGGACTGTGTCCAACGAAGCTACCAGTGACATGGGAAGAGAGGACTGATCATCCTCTTGTACCTGCAAAAAAGTTGGGTCCCCTGAGCCAGCAAAATTAGCAGGCCACTGTGCCAAGATTAGAGTTTTGTCACGTTGCCACAGTTGTCGGTTGAACACGCAGTCAGCATTTGCAACATGCCTCACCCTTCTCCTTGCCTTCCTTTTTTCTTGCCCTCTGCCGAATCGATCAGTGTGTGTTTGTGTTCGTGTGTTGCTCGATGACTCATGCCAAGCACCCGTCTCCAAGGCTATAACCAGTGTTGCCAGATCGGGCATTAACGACATCCCTTCCGGGTGGACCTGGGAGAAGTTTTACATTCAAGAGGTCGCACCAGTTGCTGCCTCAGCTCCACTGCGTGCCCATATGGCAATGTGCAGTCGCAGTTGTACCACAGATCCTAATCGACTTGTTTGAAATTCGGGAAGCCTGGTGCTAGAACCGTCGAGCTCGTGCAACAAGGCCTCCACAATGAGTTTTTGGTTCTGCGCCCGGACAGTTGTCTTGTGGAATCATGCCTGGGGCAAATACGTGCGTTACTTGGTGCATGAAGCATGAATTTGGAGTGTCAGGTCCTGTCGTCTCCATGCCGCAGAGTCAGTAGTACGGGATTAGCATTTGTGGCCCTTGCCCGCCTGCTACTGCCATACTGAAGGCGACACGTCGTTAAGAGTCTGCCCACCGCTGAAATGCATAGACTCCGTCACTACACTGCTCGGGCGACTCGAGCATTTTCCTGAATCTCAGGTAGCTTTTGCACCAAGGTATGGACAAGCATCAAAACATTGAAAAGAAGGACAGTTCATGGAAGGATCCGTTTCCAAGTGGATGGGAGTGGGAACGGTGGGTTCCTATCATGGCCGGACATGGCGAAGTCGCTTTCCACAGCACCAAATGGAACCGCTTCTTGCAGATGAACGACAATGGTAAGATGGCTGCGAGTGGCGAACGCAACATCCAAGATCTTGTCGAGTGGATGACGTGGGAGCGCTTCAGGGTGGTGCAACTGGAAGGCGGCAAGATTGCACTCTACAACACAAAGCACAAAAGGTTCATGAAGATGGATGGGGGCAATGCTACCTTGTTGAATTGACCGCTGCTGATTTAGATGATTCGTGTGTCCTTGCAAAGCTGTACAGGGATACAGATTTGCATGGCGCTGGACTTGAGGACCTCGTCACGCAGGGTCCGATGAACTACTGGGACCTTCCGGCACATTGGAACTGGGAGAGATTTGACATCAAGGAAGTCGGGGAAGCGACTTGGCTGCATGTCGCATTGTGCGTTGTTTTAGCTTCGGGGCATGAGGTTGTTGCTCACGTGCGTGACTTGCGCTGCAAATGAGATCTTGATGCCGACGTCTGTGCTGTGCTGTGGCAGTGCTATTTCAGACTCGAGCCCTTGAAGCTAGAATGCACCAGTTTGCTCATAATCCTTCACCTGAGCGGACATCAAGACCCGAGATGCCGCCCGGCCAAGGCCTCCCATTGCAACTTCTGGTGTAAGCTCGCGTCGCCCTTTGTGAAGGCCGGGAGACGGTTGAGCTCATGAGCAGCAGTGTGCCTTGATCTTGAACCCTTGTCCCCAACTGCTTGCAGGTTTTCAAGGCTGTGGTAAGTTTCGTGGCCAAGCTCTTGGAGTGCTTCGGCCAGTTTGCTATAACCGCAAGCGGCGGCTATGGCCGGCCGATCAACACCAATGTTGCCGTGAATTTCGGGGTGTCTGGCGCCTCAGACTCAGCAGACTCGATCAAGATCCTGCTTGGCTTAATCTAGAGCAGGCATTCCAAGGCCTTGTGACGCAATCTAGTTTACTACACGTGCTGGGCCAGTGTAGCCTCACTCACACGTACGCGCTTCAAGCATGGATGCTCTTAGCTTTCCCTGCCAGCCTGTTGCTTTGCCCTCGGAGCTACAAGTATGTGCGTGTGTGTAGTTATGTATGTATGTATGTATGAATGT